TGCTACTTTAAAGACTGAAAACTCTACAGGATTGATCACTCCATAAAAATTGGGCAATCTTTCGTCTCATTTCTCCACATTTTTGTCAATAAATAAGTTTAAAAAAATTACCATCTCTTTTTTCCTCCAAAGGCAGACAGACAGAGAACAATGCTCCGTCTGTCTACAGTGTCATCATCATCTCATCATTGTTAGCTAGCAGCAGCAGGTAGTAGTGCATAGGGACCACAGCGACATGATACTGCTCGTGGTGGTGGATCCTCCCACCGGAATGGCCGTCTTTCGCCCAAGGCAACAACAATACCAGTTCTTCCAACCAAACCAAAACCAAGCCTCCGTCCGACTGCATTATCCTGCAACACAAAAAGACAGATCAATATTACCGACTGAATCGCATCCAGTGCTCATGAGCAACACAAAAGTTGTAGGTTTGCTCAAGTTTAACGCAACCCTCGGTCGAAATCCGCTCACATTACGCAACTCCGTGCAGGCAGACCCAACATAACAAACCAACTGCCCTTTTCTTCCCAATCCACCACTACTAAATAGCTGGCTAAATAATATCGGAGCTCAAACCAGTGTGGCATTTTCGCTGCTAATACATATTTCTTAAATTATTTTGAAAACTTATTTCGTATTAATTAAACCATGCTGAATTTCACGAATTTATTTCCGCCTGCAAAAGTTGAATCGCCGGTCGGTTGAATCGCAATCTGGTCTATGGCATGCTTACAACTCATCAAAAACTGGGAGAGAAATTTCATTTCGTATCGTGTCAGTAATATGTTAGGAGAACGAGCTTGTTATGAATATGAGATAAGGTGACGAGAGAGTAAGTTATGCTTCCTTGGCAGTCGACTACCTATTTACCTCCCCACCGAGTTATGTAGCTGCTGAATAAATATATTGTTCTGTGCGGCATAATTGGCAAGGAAAAAGAAGAAATGCTTCGGGTCTGATTGGATTTGTTGGCCGGGTGCCGAATGTCTATCAAGATTTCATTAAACACCACCCATGAGGAAAAAAAGTGCACAAATGTACAAAAAAGTTGGGCAACTTGACATTTATTTATTTGCTGATAAGTAAGATATTGTGGAATTTTAGGAGTTACAAAAATTAGAAAAGTCAGCAAGTACAAACATTCCCGAGAGCGTAGGAGGAGGAAAAACTTGTTATTTTCTTTCAATTTTTTCCGAGAGAAAGTTTTTTTCCAAAAAAGTTTTTTCATTTCGATTTCACCAAGGAGCAAGATTTCTAGTCGGATAAGTATTTTACTCTTCTGGATCCATTGTTGGGTTGGGTTGGCCCGTAGTGTGTTGCAAAGAGAGGAGTTTCTGAATTGGATGGAGAAGGAGGAAGGGTTGTAAAAGAGATTGCTTTGCTAACTCTTCAACCAGAAAGAAACTCATTTCCCTCAGACAAGTAGAAATCCAGGGAAAGAGAGAGAGAGAAAGACAGATAGATAAAATGGTCGTGCATGAATTTCGGTCAATTATTTTGAAAAAAACAAGCTGGATGATTTTAGAAATTGCAAAATTCGAGAGAATAGTTTCATCTAAGGAAATAGATTGGTGGGCAAATTTTTGCATGGAATTAAACTCATGTCCGTGTTTTTATTGTACGATTGCCCACACATTTTTGGATAACCCCCTTCCAAGAAATTGATAAGATGAGAGAAAGTTGGAGTAACAATGGATGGATGAAAGTAGTCTTGCTGGTGGTTGAGGAGAAGAAGAAGTTGGTATCAGCAGTTCCACTCTCTTCTTCTCATCACATCCCATGAATCATGAAATCTAATCTCGTGCTCCAGAAACTCAAAGGCTCAAAAACTCTCTTTTCCTTCTACGTATCTCCACTTAACTTGCTTTCTCCACAAAAAACCACGTCCCACCGAAAAAAAAGAGAGAGCAAAGAGTAAAAATGGACAGAAAGTTTCATCCAACCTTATCGTGAAACCCAGCCAGGGATGAAAATGAAAAGCAATCTCGGCAAAAAATTATACTGCTTCGGGATCAAATGCTATCTTTTGATTATTGTCTTTAGAAATTATTACATATTTTCTAATAAATTGATTGTCGAGGAGAAAGGGTTGTAATTTTCCGAGTGAAAAATCTCTTTTCCGAGTGAAAAATCTCTTTAGTCTTCTCTTTTTGCTCTAAACGTGGCATTTTCCTGGGGATTTTTGGTGAAGGGGAGTAAAACACGAGGCATCAAGGGAGAAGGAGGAGGAAATATAAATACGTTGTCTTTCTCAGGCCTTGGTAATGGGGCGTAATGGAATGGAAAGGAGACACGATACTGGCCCCGTGCCTGGAATACAAATCACCCGATCAGGAATTTCTCTCCAGCCGACTTTCCCTTTTCCATCATCTCATTATTTCCACCACGCTCCACCAAACCAAACCAAATATCAAACCCACACGGTTTTCTCTCTAACTTCAATTTCACCAAAAATTCCAAACTTGCCTAAAACACGAACTTTGTGTGACGCACCAAACTTATTCAGGAATTTTCTGTTATCGTCGATTCGTGATTAGATTTTTGTTTCACAAACCAATTTACAAAATATCTACAATGTTTGCCATTTCACCCATTTCTAAGTTACGAACCAACGCCTGCAACAATTTGCCCAAAATTCGTGTCATATCGGAATGCCTGGAATTTTATATTGTTGCTCGGCATGAAATGTAAATGTAGATTGGATTCTATTCTGACATCCTTTTTGGAAATGGGGTGTGCTGTTGTTGTTGTTATCCTAACATTTTGCAGGGAATGCATGGTGGATGGAAAGTTGGAGTGAAAACGATAAGTGATTCAACAAGGAATTCATTAGGATAATGCCATTGCCTTGTTACTTACGGCTGGACAACACATGCACATTACGTATTCTCTCGCGTAAGATTGTGCATTCTGCTAGCCGAATACATTACGTACTCGTACATATATATCGTATACTTACACTGGCCACCCAAAAATTCAGCCCAACCGGCTCTCACCGGTCCGTCGAATTCAAGTTGTAATAGCAAATGGCTGACATTTCTCACCCTTCTCGGCATCTTCTCCCCCCGGCAGAATGTCATGCGAGGCTACTACATGTATGTACCATTCGTTCTGGGAATGATGGGTACACCCCACCCCGTCAAAAAATATTAAATTTTGCTTTCTAAAATTCCAATTTCATAAACTGGTAAAAATTTCAAAAACTGCACAATTCAGACAACATTATTTTGTTTCAAGTCTTACCTTGCTCATGCTATGATATACAGAACCTGGAACTTGAATCCTTCCCATGTTTTAATACGTACCGAACTTTTTTACCATAAACTTTCCTCCAATAATTACTTCACAATTTATTAACAATTTTTCCTTAATATAAATATTTCTTAAAATAAAACAAACCAGGAAATTTCCCTCCTAAATAAACACAAGTTTCACAAATGAGAGCAAATGTCCAACTAAACGTATCAACTTTGAAGGGAAGTAATATTCCATGTAAGTAAGTCTCGCGTCCCTTTAAAATGGGCGATGAATGGACGCATTGCATTTCATAATCTCACTCCCTGTTACACTTCCACTCGCATCCATCCCTCTTGTTAAATGTGCATCTATCTCCGCTCCTCATCTGCTACACAATACAATAAATGAGGCATAGTTTAAGGGCTCACCCACTGTTACATAATACCTAAGTCGAATTGCTGGCCCAGTTCGAGTCCACTTTTTTTGCTCGTCTTTTTCTTATCTTTCTTATCCCGCCAGGACGGTGTGGACTGGGCATTGTTTCTTTTTAGTGACAATTGTTCAAAATTACTCAATTGTTACAGAGAGTAAGTCCAGAAACGCAGCGTGGATGATTCAGCAATAATTATAGACCGACTTAAAAATAAAAATTACGCCATAATTTTTACGTCCCCGGGGATTTGCGGCATTTTGATTTGACAAGGATTTTTTAAAGTATAAATATTTGAGTATGATTGCATTGCATGCTCCTCGCATAATTTTCCTGTATGAAATATTACCACGATGTGGCCCGGTTTTTCTTAAGTCGTCGTCCTCACAATGGTGTAACGCATTGGATGCAGATGTCAACCATTCAAATCTATATTTACCTTTGGTTAAAGCAACAAAACAGAAAGCACAAGGAACACAACGATGTTCATCTGTATGAATGCAATGAGTATCGCATGCATGGCGTGGTGTGAGACTTCCTCCCTCATATATTTCCTCCAGAAAAAAATATGAAGGTCCCTTCGGACTTCAAGTTCAATGTTGTCCCATTTCAGATCATCCCTGTTGGTTTGGTTGAGCCTGAAAATGTGTAACAATGTTTCAAACCCCAGCGGCAAAAAAAAACTACTTTTGTACGAGAAGAAGAAGAAGAAGGAAATGTGGACAAAAAATTAAATCCCACAGATTTTGGGGACTTTTGAAACATCTTATTCTTCTTTAACAAACAACCCGACTTAAGTTTAAGGCCACAATTTTTTGCCACAATTTAGACAAGATGACAATGACAACTTTAACTCGGGAGTAGTGGCAAGCAACCCTTTCTTTATTATATGTATGTAAGTAGGTATTATTAAGCGCATGCCTGGTACGTACTAGGAATATCTGTGCATTGTTGGATGTCAAAAAAAGACGAGCATAGATATAAACGAAATATGTATGGTGAACTTGACTTTTAAGCATAGCGAAAGCTGTTGTAAAGTGAATAATAATCCTTTGTTTGAGACATTCCCAGCAAAAAATTGGGTTAGTTTCAGAGATGACAATGTTAAAAGATGGGATGGATTTTCGTATCCTTGTTGTTTTTCATGCCCTGATGATAGCGTGGTGATTAATCCTAAGTCGTTAGCTATACACAGTTGGATAACAAGAGATGAGGAATCATGCCTTGTTTTTTGCGTCATAATAATAACGAGATGATTTATTGCTCAGATGAGAAAAGATGAGGTCAGTGGAAAGGATTGCAGTTGTAAAATGCTTAAAAATTAGAGCAGCAATTTAATATAATCATTTTATTTTTATTTTTTCTGGAATGTTGAACGTTTTATTGTTGAGACGAAAAAAAAATGGAGAACTTTTTACATTACATGAGACATAGTTATATACATGCATACGTAACATATCATAATCATCACCATCCGTTAAAACAATAGGTCATTAGATTAATACATATGTAATGGTTAAGTCAGCACGCAGCAAATGAATGGAATTGTCATGATAAATAAACCCCAGTGACTCAGTTAGTTAAAAATGTTTAAATAAACATTCCGCCTGACGCGATACTTTAAAAATATTTAGCAACATTATAATTGATTGACTCATTCCGACTAATTCTTTAATTGCTGTATTCTTCTTAACGTTTGTGAAGCTGGGACAACACCATATTAAGCTTCGGCTAACTCATTCTTAAGAATTTAATTCAATATTTTATTTAAAATTAATTGTTTTATTTGTCAATTTCCGGCAGATTTGGACATCCTCATTTCTCGTTGGGACCTTCGTCAACGTGTCAAACTGCTGAAACTGTCCTCGCCTGTAACGTATATTGAAGGTATACCTGAGATATTATAAAGCACTCAGGATACATTCAGTATACGATCCGGCGAAAACATTAATCTTCAGTCGGCCAGACTTTCTCCAATCTCAAACTGATGCGGAGATGATGATGTCGTCAGGATCACGGGATCGTCGTCGGGTCGTCTCACCTGCAAAAAAATTATTACGCCAGGTTAACAAAGATTCACCGCAATTAGAATAAATCCTCCTCTCAACAAGTGCTCAGAGGAGGCTGGCGATCCTGCAAATTAAAAACCACCACCACGAAAAAGAAACAGATCGGATTACGAACACCTCAATTCATAGAAAAATAAACAAACCTTTTTTCTCTCTTTAATCCCTCGTTCGACTTTCTTATTTAAACTGAGCCAACTTTTCTCGTTGTTGTTGGCGAGGAAAGTAGTGAAGGGCGACTGAGACTGAGGGTGTACATTTCCATTTGGTAGGAAGTAACGTAAAGGAAAACCCACATCGGCCATGCCACGAAATGAAGAAGGAAGAAGAAGGGGAGTCCCAAAAACAGGGCACATTACAGACGTACATACCCAGCCAACTTTCAGCTCTCTTCTGCTGGCCCTCGCTCTTTCTTTATTTCTTTCATGAAGCCATTCCATTCCAGTCCGGCTGAATAACTGAATACCTAATTCAAAACCAACCAGACCGAATTCAATATTTAAGATGGACCCACAAACGGGGAGAGAGAGAGACGACCGAGCGGAATAATGGAACCCCGACCGAGCACATTGAGGAAAGTTGAGATCAAATCGCTTAATTGAATTTCGTCCACACCTCATTCTATCGAAATACTCGGGTTTATAAATTGTGCCCAATTTTTGAACTTTGATTTTAATCTCTTACCACAAGAACAAGTACATATCTTGGCACGATCTTTGTCTTCTTCTTCTTCCGCACTGTATGATTTTTGATATTTTTTAAACAATTCAAACTTATGTACGTAACTGCTTCACACTTCTTTTTTTAACGAGAAGCAAGTGTTTTTATCTGCACCACACATGACCCAAACAATGCTCAGTTGTTGAGGAAGGGTGCCCATGTATTTGTACGAGATGCTATCTCCAATTAATATTACAATGATGTGAACGAAACCCACAACCAATTTCAGAGCTGTGTGCAAGAATCGAGACTCATGGTTTAGACGTGTATATGCACATAAGTAAAAACTTATGCAGCCTGGTACGCTACACGTTACGAGAACAACAATGCAGTCTGCATCACATACTTAAATCCAAGACTACAATAGGATTAGATTATGGATGAGTGAGTGAGATTCGTTAGTTGTAGCGCAGTCAGTGGTAGTTCTATAAAGAAGAAATGTATAACTTTTGGTTTAGAAGAGAGGAAAGTTGTTGGTTGTGTAGGATGGCCTATCCCCCTCATTTCGTGCCATGATATTCTATGCCCTTTCTTTCTACTCCATTAGTTAGTTAGTCACCATTATTGGGCTACAGTAGAAGTAAGTAAGCGACCAGCTAGCTCCTTTTCGAAATGTCGGTCTTGGTGTTGGCGGTGGTGCGGTAGGGTTGGATACATAGATTTGGATTCTTAATAAAAGACGCGAGGTTGTTGGTTACACGAGTTTCGTCGTCGTCGTTCCCCTCGTTCAGGATTAGTTTGCCTGTAATATGAGAGGAATTACGTAATTGTAAATACATACATATGCACGTACTCGTACTGTAGCACATTCAAACCGACGACTGCTTTTTGAAATGTGCAAGAACTAGTTTATGAAATTACAGACTCACACACTCGTCGTAATGGAAGTCGAGTCTCTCTCCCCAAGAAGACACGGGTGGGTTGAATGGATTGGATTGCCTGCGTTAAGACAGGAAATAGGAGGGCGACGACGAGGACAGTCTGAATAACGGGCGGTAGTGAAATTCGGGTAAAATGAATGTTACCCGGTAGGAAAATTGTTGGATTCTGCAAAATTTAAAATAAATTATTAGCTTGTGTCTCGTGCACATTTTTTATGTAATAAAGTTTGTTAAATTCACACGTTTTATGACCCCAATTGCATTATCACTTACATTATGCACAAGTAAAGTACTACTAAATTCTACTACTACTACTTCACTCAGAGAGAAGAACATATGGAATATGGACCACGAATTGATTTATGAATAGAATTGAGTGAGGAAGTCGAATAATTTGTACGCTGTCGGTGACATGAAAACGCCTTCATTGGAATCCATTAAATCAATTCCTGCTCTTTTCACTTAACAAAATCCAACAAACTAAACTATCAACTTGTTCAATCAATACTTGCCGTCTGAGCAGTCGTTGTGGTGGTAATGACACGAGAAGACATTAAAAGTATGCATGCATGTGTCCCACTAATAATAATTACTTACCTATGTATTTAAATATACACCATTGCATTGCATTCCTTCCTATTTTATATTATTGACTATTCTTCTCAAAGCGTACCGACACGTTTAATGGTGCATTATGCGAGTCCTGGTTAAAGTAAAACAACACAAAAATTTATTCATGTTCTGTCTCTGGTTTAAAGCGTGCGTAAGTCAAAAGTCAATGATCGCTGGGGTAGAAAAAGGTTAAGGAACCGGACTTCATAATAATAATGTTGTCGCTGCTATAAATTCATGAATGAATGAATTCAAATTGACAATGGTCCATGCAAAGTGCGATGAAATGCGGAGCTTCCATAAGTAAGAAATAAATGATGGATTATTCGTCCTCTACAAAAAAGAGGACATTACATTACGTCAAAAATAATATGAGTATTTTTTCCTCTGGAGAAGAAGGCAATGTCTCATAATACAACAATGTCTGTATTAATTAGCTTCCAGATAGTGGCCGCAATATTGGGGACCAAACAGCCAATCTACTACGGAACAACGGCTATTAGACAACCGTGCATAACTAGCTTTGGACACGCTATAGGTAACTAACAAATACCTTAAAAATGGAGTAAACTTCGTGACGTGATGTGATTCATTGGAAAAATTTATGCCGTGAGAAGTTCCCATTTAAGGAGAGGCATAATAATAAATGGTATTTTTTCCATGGTTGGTACGGCCGAACTTTATAATAATAATACGTATACAATGTGTGCATGTATGTAGTTTTGCGTTGTTGTACATATTAAATCGGGGAGAAATACGTATTTCCGTGGCAGAATTGTAGTGTAAATAGTTGGTAAAAAATAAAATAAAATTAGGAATATTTAAAAGCCGATTTTGTAAATTTGCAAAAGATTATTTTAAAAAAATATCATAGATATAACATCGATGCATATTTTTCCGTCACTTTTGTGAAATTAAATTCTTCTAAATTTATCATCATTATTTTAAATTCCATAACTCATTTCCCTTTCAGGGGAGAAAAGTACCTCGTAGAAAGCGACATTATTTGTTACGACCGACCAGTAGTGACCAAATTGAGACACAGTTTATGACTCTATTTCAATCTTTTGTGTAACAAGATCCCATCCGTTTTTGGTCGTTCGCCATGTATTTAAAATAAAGCAGAGAACAGAACCCTTTCCTTTTACCTTTTCCTTTCTCAGCAGCAGTAGAATCAGTGTCGTCCATCCAATAGCCAATCCATCCTTCCTTCTTGGAAGGGTTTTCCTCCTTCTTCTTGAACAAGTCATAAATAAATGCACAAAAAATCACTGTTTCAAATTCTTTGTTAACTAACTATGTACCACACTAACTGCTAATACATAACATTACAGATTTCTATTGCCACTTTCGGTTTTTTTAACCCCATAAATTTTTTGTCCCAATAATACACCAAATTTTTATGACAAAACAATGCAAACTTTTTTAAGCCAAGGGTCAATGTCTAGGTCAGGTTCAGGAATCAGTCACAGATATTTTTTAATTTTTAAGGTCACAGTTCCAACCATAATTGTAACTATTTTTTGATTTTTGACAAAATTAGTACAAAAAATGCCCCCTTTATTGCCGACGTTCCTTGCTCTCTCGCTGAAATTAAACTGATAAAATTTCGATCAGATTACACCCTTAAAGTACAACAAAGCAAACAGGAATCTCATTACTACCTTCGACTCATGATCTAACCATGTATTACATTGGTCATATTCATAAATATATGAATATGAATGTTCAACTACAACCATTTCGTAAAATTGATGGCATCCTGTACATACGCACTCATCATCATTGTTCTGCTACATATCTGCTCAACCGACCGTCTCCACCAGCAGCAGCTTCATCCCACCTTCTTCTTCTTATTATTTGTGTAAGAAAACGTGACCTAATCCAATCCAGAATCAAAAATCCTGATACAAAAAATTTCTACATCCATCCATCCACACCAACCAACCAATCCACCCACCCTGCGGCAATCCCACTTTTCTTGGCTATACGAGTACATAAAACGTCCAACTGATAACAAATTATTTCATGATACAATAATGAAATTGATTTATTTCGACGTTATCCTCATTCTTGGGAGGATGCGCAAAGAGGAAGGGTCGAAATTAGGCAGAATTTTGGTGTCAAAATTGTATTTTTAAATTTTGAAAATAATCTGATTTACTTCAAAATGCAGTAATTAATCATATAAAAATTATTAATGAACTTGAAGTCTTGACCCCATGATGCCGTCATCTTTAAATGTAAGTAGTCATTAATTTGCCTCGTATTCATTGGGTGCATGGTCAATTAAGATAAAATTTTGTAGTGTTTTAATGTGTTTTATATCATTTTTATACGCGGGGAAAAAGTGTGGCATTTATTTTTATGTGGTCGTTGCATTGGGTGAGGTTGCGAGGTTTTAAGTATTTGATGGGGTGCATAGCTGCAGTTCGAAGAGTTGCGATTTAGGTAAGTATTGTATATGTATCGATGTTGCTTGGTGCTGGTGCTGCTGGTGGTTTGGTTACTGTCGGCTATTCGTCTACTCTTAAGTGGTTGTTTATTGTTTTATAGTAAAATGTGATGTTCACTTTGTGTAATACGAGACTCATAAACTGGCCAATAAAACTCTTGCCACTTTTACATATATATAAACACACGGAGAAAATAACCCTCCTCCGCGTCTCGAACATGCAGTTTGTACAAACGGAAATGACATGTTCACACATAGTGCAGTTCATAAAAATGCAACAAAAACTAGTAAAACTAGGTGCACATGCACATTTTCAAAGTGGAGAAGTGCAGTACTGGAGTCTAATTTTCTTTTAATTCTTATGCACGTTGATACGTTGTAAGTTGAGGAAATCTCAAACTCTAAATTTTCTCGGACAAATTGTGCAAATGGTGCAATTTTTTGGCAAGATTATAAACTATTAGCGTAAAGTGTTATGTAATTTATGAATTTTACTGCATCTTATCATTGTTTTCTCGTAAAATAATTTTAACACCACGCTATAACTGCACATCAAAGTGCTTTCTCCATGCTAACTTTCTCCAATATAATTCATAAAATTCTGTACATTTAACACGAATTATTTAAAG